ATATACAGCTACCGCTTTAGTAGCATAACTTTCAGCTGTGCACACGTACCCGATTAAAGTTGTTGACACTTTAGTCATTAAATTAAATTTTTATTTTTTTTAAACTTGTGAAGTACAAGCACAAACAATTTCTAATGCAAATAACAACTTAAACATCTATGTTAAACTGTACTTGTGTTTATCTAATTGAAACGATTGAAGGCTAAGTACATGTGCATTTTATATTAGCAACCAATAAACGGTGCCGGACATTCGTAAACCACGCCTCAAATACGAGAATATGAATATATAGTTCTCAGACCCAAGTCTCAACGAGAATTGAGTCTGGTGTTAGCCAGGCTAATAAAATACATGCTTTTATTTATTTATTTATTTATTTATTTATTTATTTATTTATTTATTTGTAAAAGAAGAAAATGAATGGAAATAGACTTGAAGAGCAGGTTCAATGTCTGTGTGACTCTTCCCTGTGAGATTTCCCGCAGACTGTCACTGACATCTCTGTTAAAGTCTCTGAGTAGGCTAAGTGTTAAACAAACCTTGACTCAACATATTTATCACATCTTCATTATCTTCATTATCTATCTATTTATCTATCATCTACTGCATTTCTTTATTCATTGCCTTTGATTTTATATATATATATATATACATACACACACACACACACACACACACACATACTGTATATATATATATATATGTGTGTGTGTGTGTGTGAATTTGTTTTATAGATATAAATATTGTATATAGATGTATATACATGTAATATCATTTTTAATATATATATACATGTGTATATATATATATATATATATTTAGGGCTGCAAACGATTAATCACATCCAAAATAAAAGTTTGTGTTTTCATAATATATGTGGGTGCACTGTGTATAATAATTTTATATATGTAAATACACACACATGTATATTTAAGAAATATTTTCATGTATATACTGTATATAGATTTATATATAATTTATATTATATATAAGTATACATATTTTATATATAAATAATATTTTTTTCTTAAATATACATGCATGTGTGTCTGTGTATTTATATACAAAATAATTATACACAGTGCACCCTCATATATTATGTAAACACAAACTTTTATTTTGGATGCGATTAATCGCGATTAATCGTTTGACAGCCCTCATATATATATAAATTATGTTTATTCTATATTATTTTCTGTTTGTATTTAGTATTTTATCATTAAAATTTCTAGTTCATCGCACACTCCTTACATCTGTATTCTGCACAATAACACAAAAGACAAGAAAAGAAACCAAAACAAATAAAAACACATTGCCCACCAACCCACCCCTCCACCTTTTCCCCTTCCTCCTCAGAAACCCAAAATGCATTCTCCTGCCAGCCTTCACATGGAAGGGTGTTAAAAATACATGTATACCCTTCCTCATCCTTTATTCATACCTATTCCTTCCTTTATGTTTATGAGACTTCGGGGGCTCACCGGGTCCACCGTTCTGACCCAGGGGTTGACAAAGGTTCTCCAGGAACTTCCTCTTTCTCAAACCTAATCCACTTTAAATGAGCCCAAACACAGAATAACTACATGTTGGAATTGTGACAGTGTTACAGTCGAAATCCACAAGGCTTTATTAGTAAAGAGACCAGCCATATTAATTATTAAACTTGTTATTTTTTATATTCTAATGTATATTAGACATCTTTGATAAATGCCAACTGAATGTTAAACCGAGTTGTAATAAACTATTGTTTAGTGCTGCTGTTAGAATATGTATTTATACAGAGGGCTGCTGTTCTCCCAGCCATTGGGTGGCAGTATAGAGCATGGGGGGTGATGGAGAGAGATGTTGGGTTGTTAGTGCCCTCTGCTAGGCCTGGGGGTGGATGTTGTTAGTGCTGTCTACATCCGCAGGGTAACGAACACTCCCATGGGACAGTTCTCCGCTTGTTCACTCATGTGTGTGTTAGAACAGTGCAGCAGGGGGGTTACCGGCTCTACCACAGTCCACCCTTATTGATTAGATAATCAGCCTGTCACCTAATACCAGTGTTCTTTACATTGTCCCCTGCTGGGACGAACATGGCTGTTATTGCTGACGGCAGGGGATTCCTGCAACAAGCACCTTTTATGTCCACTATTCTTTTCTATCGCTCTTTCCTGCTTCTTCCTCTCTCGGACTACGGGAAGAGTGTTTTCATTATTTGCCAAGATTGGTATGTCAATCCTTTTGCCCCTGACCCGAGTTTAGAAATGCTTTGGGTTTTATTGGAGGAATGATTACTGAGTTATCTTGCTACCTCACTCGGAGGCTTTTATACCTCCACCCTTAGTATACCTTCAGGCAAGGATTGGATTTGATACCCAGGACAGTACCTTGGGAACCGCTCGCTGTCTACTTTCTATCTCTTTCTATTGTTTGGCTGTACCCCCCATTTCCTAAATGTGCCTGAGTGTTGCTTATTCAGTTTTCATTTTTTTTTTACTTCATCAGTTTTCCCAGCTTTTCCCCTTGTCTCTCTGACCAACTAAGTTTATGCAGAGGACGAATGTGAGAAGGGTAACACTGTGACAGTGTCCCGACCACCTTCCCCTGAGGGTCATTGGTGTCGTGACCCTGCAGCAGGTGCCACTGATCTCCTTGCCCAATCACTGTCCCAGTTTCCCAGATCTCTTTCCACACCTGAACTATGAAGATGTAGCATAAAGTGGACTCATGAATACTATCATTACATAAAATATTCTTTTAAAATAAATAAAACATTTGAGTGAATGGAAATAAAATGTTAACACCAAGCTAATATTATATTTTAGTACTTGAAATAACTACCGTTTCCTGTCTTTTTTTTAGAGAAAAACTTTAGAGATGTTTCCATATACACTTATACTTTTAATAATAAATAATAAAAATAGCAATAAATAGGCTATATAGCCTAATATTGTTGCTATTTTTATTATTCATTATTATAAATTATTAAGTTAATACATTTTAATTAAATGTAGAGGTGTGTTTTTATGTCCAGAAAAGAGACATGGGTAAATAGAAAAATATGCAGATGCTCATTTTTCTTAAAGCCTATTGAATTGCATTTGACAAAGCTACGTGATAAAAATGGCAATCGTCAAAAAAAGAAAAACATGGGAAAAAGACAGTCGCCCGAATCACGATGCAAATTGCACTTTGATTGACTCTTAATTTCATCTGAAGGCTGTTTTGTTTGGTTTTTATTCTGAGTCAATGAGCTTAATCAGAGTCACTGATCCTGCGGCTTTAAGCCCTCCGTGTTGTGTTTTTGTTTGTCGGGAGATCAGCGAGACTCTATCCGCACTTCATTAACCCTGAGCCGGGGACAATCCTCAGTAAGAGCCGAGGGATTTACCACTATCCTTTCACATGCAAAAATCTCTGCGTCTATTAACAAGACGGAGGAGCTTTTCTTGAAATCAGCTGCGCACTTCGCAAGAATAACCCTTTTCATAAATATTGAGGGGGGTCATCAGCCTCCTTTGGATCATGTGCAGATCCATGTGATATTTAAATGATATCTGAATTGATGTCTTTTTTTGATGAGCATTTTATTTGAATCTGTTGTATTTTATATTATTAGTTCAATTATTGTATTAACATTATTGCCTATTTTTTGATGGTTTTGCAATATTTTACGCAAAATAAGTATGCCAAAAATAACTTTGAAATTGTGCTTTTTTTTAATTAAATAATTTCTCAACAACAAACATTTAGTGAAATGATGTTGAAAATGTTTTTTCTCTCTCTTACTCTCTCCTTGAGTGATTCGTGGGCAGGAGCCCCGCAGAATGACATGTGCTATGCGAAAGTTTGCGGCAGGAGACCGACTGATCACACGTTATCGACGTTCAATTAAAAGCTATTAAGGTCTTTTGTCTGCTCGTTAATTTCCCATTCAGTCGCCCTGTCAGAGCAGCCCCTAAACCCTGAGCTCTATGGACCAGTCTCATGGTTGGGTTAAAGTCAGTCTTAGACTCACGGAGTGGGATTGAAGGGGGGGCCCCGTCATGCCGCTGACCAGATGTCCCCTTGCTGATCCGAGCCGCAGTCAGCACTGCCCGGTGACCAGCTGTTGGGAGCGTTTGGCAAAGAGCACCAAACCAACACTCTCAAGAAAGGCTATGGAAAGAATCCATTTCCAAATGGGATCATTTAGGGCACTTAAACAATTACACACTTGGTGACCATTAATATTTCATCCACATATTGTTTATGAAAACTAAATGAAACGACATGGTGATGCTGTTATAAGAGTGCAAAGAAGTCTGTCACTTTACTCTTGTAGACACAAGACAATGGAGCCTGACAAGTGTTGAGTGTGTGCGTGAGAGAGAGAGAGAGAGAGAGAGAGATATCTCAGTATTTCCCTTTTTATCATGCTGCCATTAAAAGGAACATCGTTTAAAATGGTATTGAAATTGGCTCATATGATTCATGATCAAAATTATATTAAACCTATCAATAAGAGGTAGACGCGTCCAACTTTAAAATATGAAGGTAGAATTAAGTTCCCTAAATCTCCAGGCGTTTCTGAAAGGTTAGGTTGGTGAACGTTCGCTTACTTGGGTGCGACATTTCTTATTAACTTTTTTTGTGGTATAGGTTCGACAAATTAAATCCACGATGCTAACCAAATAGTGTGAGGTTTGAGCAAAATGTCTGACAGTCATGTTTAAAATTATTCAAACACATTTGCCAGTTATAGAGTTCTCTGAGTTCGAATATTATGAGATTGCTATCACTGACGTTGTTTACGTTTATTTTCATAAGCAAACTTTTCCTTTTCATTAAATTACTATGTAAAATCAGATGCATTTCAAAAGCAATGACTTGAATTTGACGAAGGCTAAGCAATGCAACTAATATGCGTATTTTATTGGTTTTACTTTTTGTGTGTATGTTTCATGCTGAGACTTTATAACTTTCAAAATTAAAACCCAATTTATGCTATTCAAGATAAACATGAAGTCTTTGGATTTCAGATAAATCTTGATTTTAATCACTACTTTTTCCATTTATTTTATCCTCCAAAATATAAAATGAAATAAATGATACAATTCTAATTTTGTTTTCACACTTATTGGTTTACGTCATATTTGTAATATCATGGAATGACTTCAAAATATTTCTCCTGAGGTAGTTTAGAATTTTTATTTAGCTAGTTAAAAAATAAGAATGATTATGCATTTGTTTTAGTTTATTATTATTATTTCACGTAGAACTTAATTGATCGCAGCACATTTTATGTTCATTATGACACATTCAATGGTTGCAAGTTATTTTCCTTGTAGCTTCTTAATTCATACATTTTTATGTGGCAGTGTTCAGGTCTGGCACGCGCATTATGCACCGGCATACCTTTTATATTGGCTGTTGGTTTAGTGTAATTGAATTGTCTGAAAGAACACGAGTGTGTGTTTATCCAGTATTGGTATAGGCTACCTCCACATTCTCAGGCAGTGGTAAATTAATGAAAGATCTTTATTAGCACATTTATAAAAGTAATTCTCCTTGCGTAAAGACCACCCTCCCCCGCACATCCAGCAGGTTTAAGAGTTTTCCAGAAGTTCACACCGCTAAGCACACGGGGGCACGAACGAAAATCATTTGGGATTACGAGAATCATTACTTCACAAATCATTATTCTCAATATACAGCTTCACCAAAAGAATGACAAGATATTTCAATGGTTTTATACAGAGTTATTGCACAATGCCTGGGCGAACACTTCATTTCCTTGACGTCTTATTGATCACAAAGTGATCTGAAACGAGGACTTGGCGTTTTTCCATCAACATCAAAAGTGATAGGCCTACTGCTGGCAGTTGTGCAGGATTACAGAAACGAAAAAAGCAGCACAAAAATAATCGATGGATAATCGATTAATATTCCACCTCGTCCAATCCATCTGCTTGTTCTGTTTAGGTATGGAACTCCGTATACCATTTAACTGTTCGTCAAATAGCAAACTGATACTTCTTCATTTGAGTAGAGACGTTTTGATTTCTAATGCTGCTCACGTCAGTCTCACCTGTTAACGTAAGGCTTGGAAATATGATACAAAAAGAGACAATTCGAGATTTGTCTTTTAACATAAAACAAAATATTCTTATTTACACTTCTTTTCCTTTGTACATTTTAGAGGGTCAATACAAAGCCCAGGATTTCTTTAACGTGTGACCTGGATTTGATCTCAGGATAATTAAATATGAATCTAACATTTAAATATTCTTTGCGCCAGGGATTCACCAACAATTCACAATTGTATTATTGGCTAGGCCTAATAATAATAATTTGTTAAACGAAGCTTCCCTGTAGGCTAAGTAGGCATGATGTCCCGCTCTTGTTGCGTTCAGTAGCCTCACTCTTTGTATTTGTTTTCACCAGATTTAAGCTTTAGGGTAAACGAAAACATATAAGTTAAAAGAAAACACAACGAAAATAAATAATTATATAAAGTTGGAAAAATGTCTCTAATAAGTTTTTGTGGCTTTGTAATATATTTCGAATATTTTGTCACCAATACAATTGTTCTTTGATGGTGGAGTTCAGAGCTGCCATGTATTGCACCGAGTCCGAATCGCGGCGTTCATCGCGGTGGCGTCGGTCTAGACAGCACACCGGAGAGGGGGGGCAGAGGTGGCGGCTCGTTGGTGCCCTGGAGACCGTGCAGGAGAATGCGGGGAACGAGAGGACGCTGCAGCGCCGGCGGGGGCGCCGAGGGTCCCCTGTATAAGTACAGCGCTGCTCCAGGGTCCAGATTCGACACCAGGCTTTGAGGGTAGAAATACGGCGAGGGGAACATCCTTTGTAGCGCAGAATAATTTCCAGCCTCCGCTAACAATTCCAGTCCGACCGCCGTTTGCCTCTTCCACTTCGTCCTTTTTTTCCAAGAGGAAAGAGAATAATGTCAGTATAGAAAAAATATTCAATAACTAGGGTTTTTATATAGAAATATCACCGTATTGCACTATTCCCAAGCGAAATACAAAATCCAGAGTTCAGAGAAATAAAAACTAAATAGGCTAGTCTGTGATTAATCTCCTATTTCTAAATATCTGTATGAATATCGATTTTAACGACACAATTCAACAATTCAAAGAGAGAAAGGGAAAACATCTAAAAGGTTGATAAAAGTAAAAATTAGATGAAATGCCTCTCCATAAGGGGCATAAGTGCTGAGAGTTATGAGAAAGTTTTTTTCACAATTAGTGTGAATTAAATGTCAAACGTATTTTATTCACATTAATTGTGTAAAAAACAGGCATCAAATGACATTTTAGTAATTCGTTTTAATAATAACTAGTCATTTTATTTTGTCGAGGACGCATGCATCATTTGTGGTTCAAAATGTATCTTTCAAATATATTCACTTTTCACGAAATTAGATGCTGCGAGAATGGGAAAATCTGCAAACAAACCACTTGTAGATGTACAATATATCTACTGACTTATTTAGATTGTTGCTACTGTAATTTTCTCCTATTTTTGCGAATTTTATTACTGGTTCCATTTTGTAGTTCTTACTAAAGCTATACAACAAGAATTATGTGACTGTTAGAGCCTCTTTAAACATGAAAATTTAGAATTAAAATATTTTATTGTATGTTTAAATGTTAAAAATGTGGATATTAATTCTACAGCATTTCCTTTCGTTTTAGTGGAGAAAAACTGAAGCAACGACGTCACCTGACATGTATTATTGTTTTTGGCAGGAGACTCCACAATCAAATGGAAAATATGATATAGGCCTATACCCAAGAAGCACATTTTCGTCAATACGAGAAAATTACCTAGACAATGATATCAGAATAATTACAATTTCATTTCTACAGCCTATTATCTGAATGTTTCTGGGATGTGTCCATTTCTTTTTCCAGCTGACCACATGCTCACCTCCTGTTCTGATACCAGGTTTTGACCTGCGTGTCGGTCAGGTTGAGAGATGCTGCCAGCTCCATTCTGTCCTGCACGCTCAGGTACTTCTGACGCTCAAAACTGCGCTCCAGCTGGGCGAGCTGATGGTCAGTGAAGGCGGTCCGCGCTTTCCGAGGCTTCTTCAGGCGAACCTGCGGGCTGTCTCTGCTGCTCGAGATCTCCCTGTCGCCCTCCTCTTTCACTGAAACATCACATATAACGGAAGGGCATTGATTAATCCACTTTAACACGAGTTAGTTAGCCAGCCGTGTTCCAGTATTGACAAGTCGTTATGGTTTCCACACATCCTATTTTAAACCCTTGATGTCCTCGTGCGTGCCTGTAATTCTTTCAAGCAGTTTTCAGATTTTATTTTCAGAATTTGAATACACGAGGGCCGTGATATTTAATTGACCAATATCTCCTATCTAAACTCTTTTCTCTCTGAACCCAGAAAGAGAGGGACACGACGCGAGAGACCTTGCCAGTCGAGTAGTTGAGTCGTATCTCAAGGAGCACAATAATCCGGCTAATTGAGCCACTAGGGATGGAAACCTTTCAACCGAGACCGGCGAAACTTCACAGGGACGGGGATAAGAGCGAAATAAAGAGCGGACCGACCCCGTGCGTTACAAATCTGATTAGCACTGGGACAAATTGCATCAAATCCCTGAAATATAAGGGGGTAGAAAAGGCGAAAATCAAAGAGGCGCGCACACTCTTTACAAGCGCTCTGGAGATGGGATGGCTTTGATTTGGAGAGCATTAATTTTGATCACCCGCGCCTATAGACTTGCCAAGCTAATAATTTCATGATGTGAGAGTAGAAATGTTTTTGGAATCCTAGCTGAAAGTATAGGAGAATAGATGATAGCCATCATGCCCTACTTCCACAAAGAGAGCAAGTTTGTGATGGCTAATACTAACAAAATGATCAGAATTAGTAGCGACAACACCAGTCAATAGGCCAAATACATGAACACCACAATCATAAACAAGTGCATATCATAATGCTCAAATAACAAAATGCTGGGGGTGTTTTAACACAACTTTGGGTCAAATATGGACAAACCCAGCGATTGGGTTATTTATTTATTTCTTTTTTTTTTTTCAATTAAATTTTTAACCCAATGTTTGGGTTTGTCGATATTTGACCGAAAGTTGGGTTAAAACAACCCAGAATTTTTAGAGTGTAGCCTAATAACAATAATATTATTTGTAACAGTAATAATATTAGTAATAAAAAACGTCCTGCTTGAATTATGGCATATTCCTACACTCTAAAAAATGCTGGGTTGTTTTAACCCAACTTTGGGTCAAATATGGACTAACCCAGCCGTTGGGTTAAATTTTTACATTACATTTTTAACCCAACATTTCGGGTTTGTCCATATTTGACCCAAAATTGGGTTAAAACAACCCAGCATTTTTTAGAGTGTACATTTATCAATATGTTTGCCTTTGTATTTGCATCATGGAATCAACCTATGTCACAGGAAACGGTCTTTAACTCTGTTTTTCCTCAGATGTAATTTCACCAGGACAAATCCTTAATTAATCTTGCTGATGATGTTTCTTTGTTCACCTTCCTTTTCCCTGCTCCTCACAATAAGCTTTAAACTAATAAGCACGTTAAAATGTACAATAACATACACGTGCAAACATCGAATAACACAAACAAAATTCAATGCACAAAAAACTATTCAATATTTTTGCACTATGCATTTATTTCAGTAAATATATTTTATATGATTACGATATTGCTTGTAAATTTTTTTTTAATTATTATTATAAAAGGAGGATTATGTCCAGCCTGTCGGGGTTTCTATCTATCTATCATATATAGCCCAATCTGCTTTTTAGCAAAACTGGCTATTGAACGAATGAAATGAATAAAAAAAATCATGAACATTATATTTTATTTCTACCCCTAAATTACTTTAAACATAGCCAAGGATAGTCAGCAAGCCAGCATGCTTGAACTCTCTGCTATAAAAATATGTCAAGTCATAATTCATGTGCTATTGTAGGAAATAGCATTAAAAACGAGCCGATATTTTTTACCTTTGTATTCACTGTCTGACGATGAGTTACTGTGGATCTTTTCTATGAAGTCGTCTGCGATTTTAGATGCCAGTCTCCCTGTCTCCTGTGTCGGCTGGCCGTTGCTGGAGTATGGGGCACACGCCGCTAAGGGTTTACAGTCAGCCAGAATATCTCTTATTAAGAAGGATGAAGTGACAGTCCGAGGTTGAGATCCAGCAGAGATCGGGCCGTGCTGTAAATGGGACGCGAGCACGAGCGGGTGACCCTGTCTCTGCGCCGCATCCTCACCGCACTCCCGCCTCGGAGACGGAGGAGAAGAACAACCGCTCTCTAAGTCTGACCTGGGGCTGAACTCCAACGGAGTCCGACATTCTCCTACCAAACTGTCCCCCTTCGCGATGACTGGGCTTCCTGGCCTGTGGGATAGTAGGGAGTCGATTCCAAAACTGGAGCCGTTGGTGGACGCTTCCATCTCCACACTGCTGCTTGCGTGAAGCTTCTGTTCAGATTATCATCTGTATTCAACCAAGTTCTGCGTGAATGGCGCTCGATTTAATAGCGATCTATCCAGGAGAAAAATCCAAAGCGGAATCGGAAATGAGAAATATTCATCCCCTGTCTGGAAAAAAAAAACAACTTTCTTCTTCCTTGAGGACTTTTAGTTTAAGTTTAAAAAGAAAAAGGAGGTTTCTTGAGGAGGTTCTGTATGAAGTGCCTGGAAGTGCACAGACCCTGCCTCCAATTCTTTTTTCTTAAGCTCCTCACTCACTCCTTTAAAAAAAATCGATACAGCCTAAATATACTCTAGGCTGGCAAATTATATTATTATTTTTTTTAATCCCGGTATTTTTCGAAGAAGCGAGACGCATCGATGGTGGCTTTGAATTATTTATCAAATTATTTCAAAAAGCTGTTCTGAAGTTACAGTGTTAGTGTAAAACCACAAGGTAACCTACTTAGAGAGCGCGCGCATTTCAGCACCACGGACAGAAGCAAAGCGGCAGCAACTCGAGCCTCGCGCTATTGAGCATCTCAAATTTTCATCAGTTCAAAAGGTAGTTCGCTGTGGCGAGTTGTAGGGTGGAATCCGGATGGAAAAGGCAAGAGCATTCTGTGCCAGCGGAGGTGATGCAATGCGAAATCGTTGGACGGTAGAGCGCAGGGAAAAATGCTGCGAGAAGACAGAAGCACAAATGAGGTAATGCAGGTTAAATACACACATTGGGGAACGGAAAGTCAGATAAAGCCTAACAAATGAACTTGGGCACAACTCAGTGGCTAGGTTTTTAAGAGCACCCCTTCCACGTGAGTCCCCAGCGACTCGCTTCCATTGGTTAGGAGGTGTTTTGGGGTGTTGACTCGCTCGGGAAGATGAAACTGGACCCCCCCACGCCCAATAAACCCCTCCCCACAGGTCGCCCACTTTGATTAAAAGAGACACTGAATTCATTAGGAGACTGGGATCCAACTGTTTACAGGCAATTTTCAACACTGTTTGCTTTCATTACATCATTGATGAGCCTTATAATGGGGTTATTATGAGGAGTGGGGAGGTTCTTCCTCTCCTCTGCTCATAGCGCGCGTGCAGTCACGTCTTGACCACTTTTTCACAATTCCCATTTTTCTTATTCGCTTATAGTCTCTACTAAAAGTTGAATTTAAGCATTGTTGTTATTTAATTCTAATAAAAATATTTTAAGACACTTCTAGTTTTCTAGATTTCTTTTTTAAAAAGCCATTGACGTGACGCTCATTCTTGTTCAAAAATACACAAAGAAATCAAATTCATACCCGACATGACATAAATACACTTTTTAGCTTCTGTAGGCCTATTAGTCATTTTATTTAGCCTATATTGAGGGTTTAAAGTATCAAACATCTGATTGTAAGTGAGAATGTAAAAAAAAACAATTCTCGTTAAAAAGATGAATTAAAAAAGGGGGAAACAAAGAAAAAATAGGTATGTTAGCATACAAAGTTTTGAAAAAATAAATAAACAAAAACAAGCAGAGATGCAATACATGTTTTAATATATAAACGACATTTCACATTTCAAATATTTGTCCGCCAAATCAAAGTTAGAGTGGCTTTACCAACATGCAGGAAGCCATGTTGGTGTCATGTGACATGAGAATCATAAAACAGAGAGAACCCTCATGACTGTGTTTTAATTATTAAAGTTTTAATAATTTCACATTTTCACATAAATATTTTATTCTGGTCGAATGGATTAAATTCTTGATTTGTAGGCCTAATGCAAAACTGCACATAGGCCTATAGGCCATTTAAAAATGTTTATAAAAACAATGTTTGTTTTTTTTTACACCCAAGTGTATTAAGGAAATTATTTAAGTAGCATATTTTTTACACACTTAATATATTATTTATATAATTTGATACTTATAGCCTATCGGAACGGCTTTCTTGTGTTTAAATTGTGCAAACTAGAAACTACTGTCAACAAAACAACATGATAATAATGGTGATGTAAAAAGTAATAGGCCTAATTACTTGCATGCTATTATGCCACTACACTATTATTAGTGCTTAGTTCTATCATTAGGTAATCGTCAAGACCAGAAAACGAGTTGTACTTGTGCTTTAATACCATAACATGTGGCTGTCTGTTGCATTCGCTTGACACGTTAGTGTTCTTTTCTTTTAGAATGCACAAAACACGATTATCGAACAACCGTGTCGTTCAGTTCATAACAACTATCTAATTTATGCAATGTTAATGAGCAATAATGAGGGCGACTACACTTTCTGAAAGCTCAGCGTGACACAAAACTCTAACATGCATGAAAAACTATTGTCCTGCCTTTCACGTCTTTCTCTCAAACAGTTAGCCCCTCGTGTTTTTCGACAGGTCCCAATAATCGAGCCCCCCATCAGAACAGCAGATTGGAAGCGCTATTCGGCCGCAGACAACGGCAGGTTAGTGAATCCGCTCCCCGCTCCCAAGGGGTGTCAACGCGGCTGCAAGCTGTCACGATGAGGCGGGGTGCAAGCACACTCACTTTAGTTTAGAGGATGCCTACTGCGTGTGATGGCGATCTTTCTTTTCTTTCTTTTTTTAAGTCTCTGTGGCAGGCCATGACAGGAGTTATATCTAGCCTATATATGTGATATGTTTTGGGCTTTATTTAGATAAAATCCAGAGCTCTTAGTGCAGTGACAACAGGTGAGCTGAGACTTAGCCTAATAATTCTGTTTCAACTCAAAATGTTTAATAAAAACTATTTTTTTTTTATCTTTTATCAGTTAATCACTAAAGATAAAGTGCTTAATAGCTGCCTTGGTGTAAGGCTTCTGCTTTGCATTGGTTTTCCTTCAATTGTCCAAACCTTGAAAACTATTTTCATTATAAGCACTATATGGCCTGGTATTACTTGAGTTTTATTTTTTAGGGTTAGGGTTAGCCTTGAGGGTTCTTTTTTACTTGAGTTTTTTTCATGTTATTAAATTCATTACATTAAAATTAATCCAATTGTTTTACCAATGTATTACCAAAAAAGCTATAAATATTATAAATAGCCAATCTATATATATATATATATATAACTTATAGCATTGATAAAGCTTTAGTGATTGACTTAATACCAATACCAAACCTTTCACAGAAATCCTGCAACCTATGTAGCCTAAATCTCACAAGTTGGACAGTTTGTTGAAAGAACAATTCATATAGAGGAAAGAAAATCAGGAACCTGACACACCAAATGGAGATGCACAGAAACGTTCTCGAAAAATCTGTCACTCAAACACTTGTATTTAATGTACATCCTCTGATTGTTTGAAGATTTGAGGAAGAGGCAGAAGAGATGAGTGGCAAGAGGCTTCAAAGACGTTTGATCTCTCCTCACCTCAGGTGAAAACAATGTTTTGAATTTCATTTATTTATTCTGTTCCATGTTTGTTAAATATATATTTGGATATGTTCAGGAAAATGGTGCATCGTTCCTGGATAAACTTTGGCATCGCTGTCATTTTGAAACATTGAGTAAAACATACCTTGGTAAAAAAAAAAAAAAAAAAAAAAAGATGTGTAAAAGGAATGAAATGTTGACTTCAGTCAACAAACAAACATTGTACTGAAAAAAAAAAAAAAAAAACGGGCACACCCTGGACCAGTCAGCGATGCAAATGATGCACCTTAAAGCCATCAGGTGTGAGATTTGACAGAAAATAATGAGAACCGCTGAATCTTTTATAAGGTTAACACTCACATTTCCCAGTCAGCTGTCACACAAGAAAGACTTTAGCGCATTCACGCTGGCGAAATATACCTTTATTGGCTCATTAAAGCTGACAGGGGGTTCGGGACCGCCAGCACTCGGGCTCGGGACCGCCGGTGCGCCACCCCGTTTTGTGTCAGTAATTTGCAGAGGAGATACACCTTACCTTGAAAAAAAGAAGGGGAAAATTATGAAGGGAGCAAGAACGAGAGAGTGAAATGGCAGAAGCTGGTGGGGCGAGTGCCGAAAGATGGGGGTGCCGGGGGTGGGGGGTGTAAGGAAGGGCCTTGGGGGAGGGTGGAAAGATCCCTAGCACGCCAGGAGTCTGATTCTCTCCTAATTGGAAGCATTGGGCATTGTCAACTGAGGATTTTCAGTCGCTCACTGACAGGTAGAGTCGTCAGGATGATAGCCCACTTGTCAGCGCAAAACACCAATAAAAACAAACCACTTTTGATTTAATTGGAGGCCTAGCCGTAGTGGGCTAGGACTGAACGGGTTGGGGGTTGTGGATTGCTTCAGGGAAAAACCGGTGTGCGAGTGTGTGTATCGAAGGGTTGTTTGACAAAGAAATCATCACTTTGTGTAAAACCACCCGGAGCAGTGGCTCACATCGTCAGATAGAGGAGAGCAGATCGTCGTTATTCTCTCTCTCTCTCTCTCTGTGTGTGTGTGTGTGTGTGTGGTCACTTCCCATGGTGCTGAGGTTACAGGAAACACAGAGTTTGATTTGGTCTCTAGAGGCCCAAAGGCTGTTCAGCACTCATCACTTCGAGTGTTTCTTCTCAAAAATGCACGCTCAGAGAGATATTGATATGGTGATACCTTAGAGAATGAAGCAGAAGAAGAGCTGACCCTACCTGACTTCTGCTACAACCACCTCACCAAGTACAAAAAAACCTTTCTGCCTCTCATCTTTGCAGGTGGAATCACATTCTACACCACCAAACTGAAATCACGGTATTCAGCAAACTGATTTTTCTTCTTGTGAAAATTTGTTTGCTATGCAAGGTATAAACAAACAACTGGATACTTCGAGTGGTGAGGCTTGTTATTTTTAATGGAGCATATATTGTTAATTTTGAAACGAACAGATTAGCGAGTATGGAAAATTTAATTGAGCTTTAAAATATCACATTAAAATGTACAATATCTTAAAAACTCGCCCAAAATAAGGCAACTTGGTTTGCTACAGAGGTATAAATACAGCCACTGGTGCTCATTGGATACATGAGAGGCAAATATCAAAATATTTCAAGGCACTCACATGGTTAAAGGAGTTGTTCACTTTTGAAAAAACTTTTGCTGATAATTTAGCTACTCAACCCCATGTCATCCAAGATGTCCATGTCTTTTTCTTCAGTCGAAAAGAAATGAAGGTTTTTGATGAAAACATTTCAGCATTTTTCTCCATATAATGCACTTCAGTGGGAAGTAGGTCCAAAATACACTTTCTTTACAAACTGCAAACTGTTCAAAGGGCTTTAAACGATTCCAGACGATGAATAAGGATCTTATCAAGTGAAACGATTGCTCATTTAAAAATAAATAACAACGTTTAAGTTTTATAAGCACAAACGCTCGCCTTGCTCTGTACTGCGATGCACGTTCGTGGCTCTCCTGTTCGAACTTGTTCATCAAAATGAACGAATCTTTTTCTGAGTCAATTTGTTCGTTTCGTTTGTTGAATGAACCAAATGACTCGGAAAAAGATTTGTTCATTTTGATAAACGAGTTCGAACAGGAGAGTCACAAACGTGCGTCACAGAACAGAGCAAGCCGACCGAGTGTTTGTGTTTATAAAACTTAAACTTTGTTATTTATTTATTAAATGAGCGATCGTTTCGCTTGATAAGACCCTTATTCATCGTCTGGAATCGTTTAAAGCCCTTTGAACAGTTTGCACTTTGTAAAGAAAGTGTCTTTTGGACCTTCTTTTCGACTGAAGAAAGATTGACATGGACATCTTGGATGACATGGGGGTGAGTAACGTTAAATTGTCAGCAAAAGTCATTTAAACATCAAAAGAGTTGTTGAAGACATCAAAATGCCTTCCATCCACATCCATTGT